CCCACGGGGAATGTGGTGGGTTGGATCCAAATTGGCTCAGACTCGGAAAATAAATAGTAATGGCTAACAGAGATAACAAGGTGCAGAGCTGGATGAACACAGCAGGCCAAGCAGCATCAGAGGAGCAGGAAGGCTAACATGGCTAACAGATGATTTTACAAATGGAAAGTGGTTTCTGATGGTGTTCCACTGGGTTCAGTTTGGATCTCATGCTTTTCTAATACATACCAATGATTTAGAATCAAATGTGGGACACACCACTGGGAAATGAGCAAATGACACAAAAATTGGCCAAGTTAGTTAATAGTGAAGAGAATGGCTGTCAACTGCAGGATGTTAGCAATGATATGTCATCCAAGTTGCAGAGTTTCTTTTTCTGGCTGATACCTGAATTTGTAGTGTCTTGATGGTTACCGTAATGAGCAGCAGGAGGTCCAGGGACTTCTGTGCTCTCTCGTTGCTGTGTTCGTCGTGCACTGCTCTGCATTCTCTTTTATGGAGCCAGTTGTGTGGTACTAGGGTCACTTGAGCTAATAATTCAGAGCACAATGTGGAGAAAATGGGCCGGAATCCCAACAAGACAGATGATCAATTTCATTTCAGAACTGAAATCTCAAATTAAAAACTAGAACAATGTCAACCACGGTGAAATTGTTGATTGTTGCAAAAACCCATCTGGCTCACTAGTGTCCTGTAGAGAAGGAAAACTGTTATCCTCACTTGGTCTGACCTACATACAACCCAGTCAGCATTGTGGTTGACTCTGACGTACCCTTTAAAATGACCTAACAAACTGCCCAGCTGCATCAAAAGCCTAAGAAAGGAACAAAACTGGATGGACAAACCAGCATTGACCTAGGAAATGACAGTGACAGACTCAGCCCTGTCAACCCTTCTATCCAACATCCGGGAGCTTGTGCCAATATTGGGAGAGCTGTGCCACACACTAATCAAGCATCAGCCTGACATAGTCAGACTCACAGAATCATACATTGTTGACAGTGTGCTAGACACTACCATCTCCATCCCTATGTCTTGCCCTACCAGCAGAACACACCCGCAAGAGGAGTCATCAGCTCAGTGATGTACGATCGGGAGAAGAATTGCAGGGAGGAGTCTTCAGCAATAACTTCAGCCCCATGAAATCGCAGGTGAAACAAGGACAAGGAAATATCCTGCTCCCTCAGCTGATGAATCAATACTCCCTCATCTTGAACTGCAATTAGAGGAAGTACTGAAGGCGGTAACATATTCTGGGTGGAAAATTCAATGTCCCTCACCAAGAGTGGCTTGGCAGCACCACTACTGATTGAGCTGGCTGAGTCCTATAGGACATAGCTGCTAGTCCTGTCTGTAGCAAGTGGTGAGGGAACTCATGGGAGGAAAATACTGACTTGACCTCATTCTCACCAACTTGCCTTTCACAAATGCTCCATGACAGCATTATAGGAGAGACCATCACACAGTCATTATGGAGATGAAGTTCCATGGTCACAATATGTTGTATTGTTTTTGCAAATGGAAAGCCTTTCCAGTGGTGCAGTGTAGGGCTCAATTTTGGGTTGCTTGTTGTCTGTGGCACATATTAAGGATTTGAACTTAAATGTGGGAGGCATTATTGGGAAATTTGCAGCTGATACAAAAATTGGCCAGTGAGTAGATAGTGAAGAGGATGGCTGGTGACCTGAGGGAAATATCATTGTTTTTATTTGGAGTGGACAGAGAAGTGGCAAATGGAACTCAAACTAACAAGTGGAGATTATGCATTTAGGGAATGCAAACAAAACAAAGGAAAAGCAATAAACAGGAGGATATTAAGAGAGGTGGAGAAAGTGGGAAACCTTGGAGTATATGTTCACAGGAACCTGAAAGTCACAGGACAGGCAGATAAGGTGGTAAAGAAAGCATATGGGATGTTTTCCCTCTTGGGAAAAGTATTGAACACAAAGGTGAAATGTTGGAACTATATAATACGCTGGTTAGGCCACAGCTGGAGTTTTGTGAACAGTTCTGGTAAGCAAACTACAGGAAGGACATAACCGCTCCTGACAAAGAACAGAGGAGATTTACGAGAATGCTGCAGGACGTGAAAATTACACCTATGAGGAAAGATTGGATGGGTCAGCATTGTTTACCTTTGAACAGAAGAGGCCAAGGGCTGGTTTAACTGAGGTGTAACTAGGGATGAGCAATAAATGTTGGCCAGCCTGAGACACCCATGTCCCTCGAGACAATAAGAAAAAAGAGGGCTTAGATTGAATGGAGATGGGAAATCTGATGCCTCTAGATAAAGGTCAATTACCAGGATAGATGGATTAGAGGGGACATGAGGAAAGTTTTTCTCACTCAGAGGGTGGTGAGTATCTGGAATTTATTGCCCTGTTTGGTGACTGAGGTGAAAACCTTCATCTCATTTAAAAGGAATTTGGATCAGCACCTAAAGCATTGTAACCTACAGGTTTACGGACCAGTTATTGGCATATGGGATTAGAAAGGACAGCAAGTTTGTACAGCCAGTACAGATACAATGGGCTGAATGGACTCTTTCTGAGATATACCTTTCTATGGTTCTATGGTTAAACTAGCTTTATCACTTGTAATCATCTATGAATAGATTTCTCATTGTAACTCCTCTTAGATATCCAGATAAAACACACCCAGAGAAGTGTTATTCTGATAATATTGCTTAGATAAATAATACAGAAGGGATGGGATTAATATTTATTGAGGTGACAGATTATGAAGCTGGGAGTGAATCATTTACCCAAAGCAAAAGCTGAATTTTAATTTTAATTAATCAAACAGTACCCTACCTTACCTCCCAGTGTTCCTGCTCAGATGGGCTAGGTGAAAAGGATTGTACAAGACATAATTAAATGAAGTCAGCAATAATAGGACTTTTCTGTTCCTTGTGGTATAAAACCTGCCAAGAGCAAAGCGCCTATTCACTTTGGCTTTAAGTAAAATAACATATGGAATCCGTTCCTAGACACTGCAGAAAAATCAAACACAGCTTATTCTATTTGATAGAATACTGATGCCATCACATCCAATATTTGAGTACATATATCAATAATATATTGAAATAATCATCAGAAATCTTTACCAGTTAGTCCATTCTATTACTGCTAGTGGTTTTGTCCCAACTGTATCACGTTAGTGTTAGTTTAGAGATCTACATACACATATGCATAAATGTTTTAAAAATGTGTATTATATAAAATTGATTTCTGTTGATGCTAAGTGGATTTTTTCCCATTTTGCCCTCAGAGTAAAAAATTCTCTTAGGTTGGAAACAGCATGGTCTGTGAGACTGTAAAACCCACCATACTCTGCTTAAAAAGTCATTTTAACTTGAACTTCAGAAGAGCACCTTCTGCTGCATCAGTTGTGAATGATTCTACTTTCAAATGTGATTATAGCTGCCTGGGCATATTGCTCATTTATGTCAAGCTGTGGGCTGCTGTGGGCCTGCAGTTATATTGATCAGGGTAGAGTATTCTTAGAACTGACAGATTAGTCCAAACTGGATTCAGACACATATGCCAGAGATGACAGGACTGGCTGTTTATTCACTGCAGGAATTCTTTGTAATACAGATTGCAGGAGGTGGTAGGATTGAAGCAATTTCTTTTAAAAGTCCTTCCTGGGAATCTGGGCATCACTGGCTAGACCAGCATTTATTGCTCATCCCTAATGGCCCAGAAGGCAGTTAAGAGTCAACTACCTTGCTGTGGGTGTGGACTCACATGTAGACCAGACAAGGTAGGTCCAGTAATTTCCTTCCCTAAAGGTCATTAATGAACCAGATAGATTCTCCTGACAATTGGCAAGACACAGTCACCATTAGACTCTTAATTCCAGATTGTTTGCATTTAATTCAAATTCCACCATCTGCCATGGTGAGATTCAAACCCAGTTCCCTAGAACATTACCTGGGCCTGTGGATTAGTAGCCTAGTGACAGTACAGCTAGGCCATCGCCTCCCCATAGTCAGGAGAAATGAAGCGATGATACTGAGGAGGCATATGGCTCTGTTTAGTAACAGTTATACATTAGAAAGACGGTTGTTTCACAACAATAATCATAGAGTTAGTAATAGAGTCATAGGAATTTTACAGCACGGAAAGTGGCCCTTCAGCCCATCTCATCTGCACTGGAGCATGAACAAGATCTACCGGCATTAGCAATCCTTGCCTCTGTATTTAATACCTTGTCCGGTGAAGGAAAACATCTCATAATCTCTCTTTGCCAACTCATCTATCTGCCTTGCCACCTTCGGAGACCTGCGGAGTGGCACTTCAAGGTCTCTCACTTCCTCTGCCTCTCTGAATATCCTCCCATTTACTGCTTTATTTATCCTCCCCAAATGTCTAAGCTCACATTCTCCAGGCTGAAGTCCTTTACCACTTTTCTACATGAAGAAGTTCGACTAGAATTAGTAAAAATTTGGAATCAAAATACAGAGAACATTACAAGAGGAAATGAAGTAGTAGAAAGTAGATTGGACAAACGAATGTATAAGAGTGCTAAAGTTATATAATGACTTAAACTAAGCTAGAAGAAAGCACTATATTGAACAGCAGCCGTAATTAAAGTTTATAACTCGTACAAAACTAATTTGAAAAATTTGCATTCCAAAGTCCATTAACTCCACTTTTGTCCAGTTACTTTACAGGCACCCACATATTCTTAACATGAAGGGATTTGCTATTGTCTTTTTCTTTTTCCAGAATTGAGCTGAGTGAGATGTGCAACAACAACTTGTGCTTATATAGCATCTTTAATGTGGTGAAACATGCCAAATTACTTTGCAGTGACAGCTGGACTGTAATCTGGTCAAAAAAGGAGGTTGGGAGGACAGTCTTAAAGGAGGGAAGAGCACTGAAAAGCCTCGTTTACTCCAAAGGCACAAAGCGCTCAGACAATCTACCTTGCTTTTAAAAAGCACTTTGGACAAAGATGTTGCCAAAGATGAGGCGTGCTCCTGTCATGCTTACCGATGCATTCCGGTTCATTGTCACTCCAGCGAGGCTTGCTGCCATTGACACAGGTGAGGGAAGGGAAACCTTGCAGGTGGTAACCTGTGTTACAGTAGAAGTGCGCCACTCCACCAGGATGGAGGCTGGTGACAGACACATCGCCAAAGGACGGCTTCTGTGGAAATCCACAGCTCAGCAAATACGCTGCAGGAACACAAGAGGAAATTTTTAGAAAAGAAAATTCAATAAAATCCATTGGGAAAGAAAATTACTCACAGTGCTTTAATCACATTCTGAGAGCATTGGGCATTCTTCTCTCACTAGTAGCATCTGGATGTTATTCCCTTTGAAGGAGAAACAGAAGTGTATTCAAGTGAAATCAAAGTCCCAGAGTTCATTAAATAAGAACAGAAAAATGCTGGAAATACTCAGTAGACCAGGTGACATCTGGGCCCTACTGAGTGTTTCCAGCATGCTGTTTTCTTGTTTCTGATTTTTGTATCTACAGTCTTTTGTGTCATAGTTAACGCGCAGAAATAGTTCATACTCTACACTGATACATTTTGTGGGCAATAGCCGACTCCAATTCTTGTTAATGTTCAAGTGAAACTGGTTTTCATGTTTTTGGCTCTTAAAGGACTGCCTTCATTTCGAGTTCTCTGCTCGAAGGTGGGCCCTTGGTGATTATTTGCTGAAAATGTGTCGTAATGCTGTGATTTTCTCTACTATGGGTACAGCAAGGTAGCAAACCTACAGCCTACCTCAATCGTAATGGGGATTGAGCCCTGTGCCTGTTGGTATTATTCACATCCACACGTTGGGTATCTAGCTGACTAAGCTAACTCAAAACAGAACAAACAATTGAAATAACAAGGTGTAGAGCTGGATGAACACAGCAGGCCAAGCAGCATCAGAGGAGCAGGAAGGCTGACGTTTCGGGCCTAGACCCTTCTTCAGACCCTTCAACTGAAAATCATATTTGAATGAAGCAACCGAAATATGCATCAATAGGTCAAAGAGGTCTAAGTTTCTGAAATGGCAGAGACCACGTTAGAAGTTTTTTCACTAAAAGAGTGTCAAATCTTTGAAATGCTCTGTCTGAGAGAGCAGTGAATGCTCAGTAACTGAGTATATTCAAGGCAGAAGCTAAACAATTGTTGGATACTAAAGAAATTAAAGAATGTGGAGCGAATGCAGGAAAATGGAGCTGAGGTAGAAAATCACCTATGATCTTGTTGAATAGCAGTGCAGGCCTATTCTAGCTTTTATTTCAAATGTTGTTATATTCTTATAGTAATCCCCGAGGACTATATGGGAATAATCAGGACATAGTATTAATCCTCATCTGAGGCTCAACCTTCTGGCTCTCAGACAAGAAAGCTACCAACTGAGTGAACCATGACATTGTGGAGATTATCGAGATTTGAAAATCAATAATGAAAGAAAAGAGGGACCGAGAGGGTGTTGCAGCCAAAATATTTTCCCATCGCAGTGAAATCAGAGTGGCCCAATGAGATAACTTACTCTGAATATTTGGCCAAAAATGTAAGAGTTGCAAAATCAACTTTGGGGGTCTTAAAATACAGAAAGCACAAACAGAAGATTCTTGGTAACATTACACAATGCAGCATGGGATGTGATTTAGAGCTTACAATTATTCATTAGTTTTGTTAGGAAGTTGGACATAGATTAAGACGAAGCAAGAAGAACATAATTTGAAAGTGAGCCAAACTTGTAAAAATAAGATCAGTTCAATAATGCTACTTTGTTTTGTAAAACCCAGTGTAATCTATGCAGAACTCTAAATAGCATTTGGAATCCTCTTAGCAGCTTTCAAACTCTTCAGAGTTTGTATTGTGTTACTTGACAGAAATTATTTTGTGCATATTTATAATCATCCCAAAGGAATTTGGATAACTGCATGTGTCAACTCAAAATAACTCGGTGTGACCCATGTTCTAAATAAATCATACTGATTCACTTTCTATTGCTTGCTAATTTTTGTCCCTTCCCCCATCTTTCCTCTTCACAAGCCATTGTCTTCTTGATACAACCCCAGTCAAGTGACTATTAATCATGTACAAGGTGGTTTGAGCAGACTGATTTGTCCACTTTGGGGCTGATCCAACGTTGATAGTCCACACAAGACGCGTGGTAGCAAACAGCAGCAGAATTCTGCCCATTTTTCTCCTTTCCTAACCCTGGTTTGACCTGGCTGAGATTCGGTCAATCAGCAGATGCCAAGATTGAATCAATAGGAGATTTAGGAGTGTTGGATTTGTGACTCGATAAACTTGCCAGGACACCAAGGAATCCAGATTCATAAGAACATGAAAAGTAAGCTTTCAAAGTAAAGTACGGAATGTTACCTGCGTCATCAGACTAAATATAATAAATGAATTGCCAGATTTCAACTAAAAATAAAAACGAATTTTGAATCAACCTTTAAATCCACGTGAATATATTGTTTCCAGTTTCTCTTCTGTTGAGTTTTACTGACAGTGTAAATGTAAGGGGATAATGATGATGAGTTGAACTGTGCTATAAAAGCCGGTTATTTTTATCTGTATGTTTATAGAAATCCCGACTAAACAGCAAGATATTTTGCAAAGCAACTAACAGGATTTGACTGAGCAGCAGCTAAGCATATATTCCCAAATTTAGTTTGTGTTTGCACTCACTCCTACTGATAAAAATATTTCAGGTTTCGAACTCTTTTAAATTCCTCCATCAGAGACTACTTGCACACTATACAAAACACAATGCAGTGCAATTAAAATTATGGCATCATATCAGTTATACTGTAAAACAAGTTGTTCTCAACATAAATGAGAAGTTTCCCTCAGGATACGTGTTGTAGTGAAATAAATATTACCATCTTTTACATAAATCCCATGCTGCAATCCCATTACCGTTCAATTTATACAATTGAAAGTGTCTCTTCATCTATTGCTTTCAGCCATAATATCCCATCAACAAAATAGGAATGGAAATAGCTTGTAAATCCCATTAAGCAAACACCTCCCACACATGAACAATCTACCCCTTATCTCCTCCTGACGTTTCTCGATTCTCAAACTGAGTGAACTGTTTATCCATTTCCTCAGGCAGAATCTAATAGGGGCCTGAATGACATTGGCCATGGTGAGAAATCTGGGAGCATTGCTCCATGCACTATCAGGTCAGGCCTTTCTCGACGTCAAGGACATTTCAATTGCATTTTTGTACAGTTCCGGACAATGAGGCAAAATTCTTGCTAGAGAGTGGCGTGATGCCTATTAATGGGAATAATTGCTTGTTAATAGCCTCATTAACTACAAATCTCATCTCATTAGTATGCAGTTTCCTATTTTAGCACCTGCTGCAAGGAAACTCATGCTGACAATTCCCAACATGAAAGTCAGAGGGCATACCTGGAGCTTGCTTCTTGGATTGCCATATCAGACAGGCATCAACAACATCTCAGGGGGAAGGCACCAGCTGCACTCACCCCCTGTCCATGGATGCTGACATCTGACAAACTGCCCAGCCTCTCAGAAACACCATGGCACCTTCACAATCCATTTTCAGGATGTTTCTGCCATTTAACACTGTCCTTCATGGTGCATCAACAACTAGCTACGAAATGCTGCTGCAAGGACACTTTGTGTGCATGAACAGGCAGCTGGATTGGACCAGGCTGCATCACAGGATTGCTTGGTTGCTCTCTGAGTGCTCACATACTAACTTCAGACTTCTATTTTGTTCGAGGACACTTTAGGCAGAGTACTCCACATCAGTTAAATAGTGTGCCCAATCAGTGACAGCGATGTCCAAAGATAGGTGATGATGAGGCAAAGGCACAAGCTCACATGAATGACCACATTATAGAGAAGAGCTATTCACCTTATATTTATTGCTACACCATCCAGTCTAATTCCCAACAAGCTACTGATTGAATTCATTTTGAAAGTACTGGTTGACATTGACTGAGTCAGCAACCCTCAAGACACCAAAAAAAAGTGGAATAAAACTATTCCGAATGTGGCATTTATGTAGAGAATATCACAAAGCACTCTTTGCTGGGAGGAATGTAAAGTGGCAGAGATACACAAGAGAAAAATAGTTGAGGGAACAAACTCAAAGCTTTAGATGGAGATTTAAAATAGATGAATAGAACTTTTTGGAAAAGAGAGTCAAAATGATTTGAAGTATTGCAGCAATGGAGTGCTAAACCTCTCCTGGCTCATTCACTGTTATTATCTTGCCAGGCTGTTTCTATGTCATCCAGTATTGGATGAACACAAATTTCCTCCAATTAAATATTAGGAAGTTGAAGTCATTGTTTTCAGTCCCACTGCAAACTCCATTCCTAGCTACTGACTCCATCCCTTTCCCTGACAATAGTTTGAAAAGTTTATCTACTGGCAAAGCTGGAGTCATATCTGACCCTAAGACAAGCTTCTGACCTTATACTTGTTGCCATCGTTAAGACTGTCTACTTCCACCTCTGAGGCATTGCCCAACTTCATTCCTGTCTCAGTCTCATCTGCTGCTAAAACTCTCATCTATGTCTTTGTTACCTTGAGACTTGATTACTCCTGCTTGATCTTGTTACATTTAACGGTGTGTAAGCTTGAGGTTATAAGAATCTCCACTATCTGTATCTTAACTCAGAGCTAACCTGCATAGGCTCCTGGCCAGCCAATACTTTAATTTTAAAACTCTCATGTGTATTTCAAATCCATCCATGTCCTCATCTCTCCTTATCTCTGACATCTCCTCCAGCCCCACAACTTTCCATGGTAGTTAAACAACTGTAATTCTGTGCTCTCCTTAGCATCCTTAATTTTAATTACTCCACCAATGATGGCTGTGCTTTCAATTCCATAAGGACAAAACTCTGGTATACTCTTCCTTCACCTTTATGCCTCTCTACCTTGCTTTCCTCCCTTAACACTTACAAATGGCCTCTTTGACTAAGCTGTTTGTCATTTGATCTAATTTTCCTTATGTGACTCAGTGCCATACCTAGTTTTGTGATACTCCTGTGAAGCACCTTGGGGCATTTCATTGCATGATGTACACATATTTTATTATTACTTATTCTGAGTTTGGATTGTTGAATTTTGAACTGGTGGCATATGGGGTTTTCTGTGTGTCTGAAGGGGTTTAATAATTAACTTCTGAATATTTCTGTAGGCGTGCTGATTTATTTTAAAACA